ATGGAAAACCGGTGGTACTGAACTGCATGACAGCACCGCTGCCCACCACCAACGCTGAGTAGCTGTGGTGGGATCCGAACCACCGACCACAGCGTGGAAAGCACGCCGGTGACAGCGACTAAACCACGACGTTCAAAATCGTTCCTCCTCAGAGTACGAACAAACACCGTTATTACTCTAGTTAGCGGTCAAATTAAACTGTGAAAGAAAACAAAAGGGCACTGACCTGGATTATTCACATTGGCTTTCAATAGACTGAAGCAAAGACCGGCCGCATTACGACATCCCACAAGACCATGAAGCATACGAACGTATGGTAAAAACAAACAAGGGGTGGTGACCATGTCCCCAGCAGATCGTACAAATCTGAAAAGCGAAGCCTGGAAAAGTATTCACCAAAAAGCCGAAATGAGTATGATGATGTGATGGAAATCATAAAAAGCTACATTTTCCGAAATGAGCATAAAAACAAACAGCTTCGGCCAAAGTGGAGTCGCTACTGATGGTCATGTTATCGAGGGATCCTACTGGAAGAGTCGTGATATAAAAGCACACAACACTACGTAAGCTTTACAACGTATGGTTGAGGTTGCGGCTTTTCGCCCTTCCATTGCACCTCGCGAAACGCTGCCGTACGACCAAACGTCTCAAATAGCCTCTACCGAGGAAGCCCTACTTACTGTCTTCTCGTGGCGGAGTTGCTTCCCACGAAAGTGAGAGGACGAAAAGCCGATATCCGGGGCTATAACCGGAATGGTGGACCACTGGTAGTTCACCTAGGGGAGTTGACCGAAAACCCTGATTCCAAACCAACCAAGAGGAGACCTACGAACCACACACCTCCCCGGTTGTGGCCACTGTCACCGGCTTGATTGGGCTTCGAGGTGTATTAGATCCCTTGGACGTCCGACCCCGTCCGAAGGGCGTATGATCCGATGAACTGGACGCCGGCCCCCAATGGATTGCGATTTTCAAACACCGCTCCGCTGCCTTGCGGCTCAGGCTTTGGCTAGCCAAAGGCTCCAGTTGTGGATTCCTCAAGAAAATTCACCTGCCTGGGCCTGGGCAACTTGGTAGTATTCCGCTCATATGCAAATTATGGAACTTTTTCTTTGTCACTAAGATTATTGTACTATTATTTGTTTGGCACACATCCTAGATTCAGACGTGTGAAATATATATAATATATAAAGTTTTACAACTCCCAATTATTCTCTAACGGTGGTTTCGCTTCACCGGAAATTGTAACTGTGGATTTAGTCCTGTTGGTCGATTGGCGTTTTATGCCTTACAAATAACTTTGATTAGCATATCAGGAACTTCAAGACACTATAAACACAGTGTGTGATTCCAACCGACGACGACGGTTCTTTTGTCACTTTGCTGATATCGCTCACCTCGAAACGAGGTCAACGAGAAGCAGGGGACAGGTTACCGAGCGTTGGGGAGATTTTGACTTGGTGTCAGAAAGGATATTACCGTTTTATTTCAAGTCTACTCCACTACAGTGGCAGGAATTTTCGCTTAAAACCTCCTCACTATTATGGAGACTGGATACAGGTCCTCGCTCCTCATCCAATATTGCTCATTGTAATGCTTGCATCGAAAAATAATCAGTTGTTCGGGCGATTTTGCTTCGATAAATCACCTTTCTCGGTACACGCTTGTCACGAAGACGTGCCTTTGGTGCACGTGGTCTTCACAAATATGTGTTTCCCATGCCCGCACTTTATATGCACATATTGGAGTCTCGGGAAGAAAGGGAGCATGAAACTGGTGAGATTAACGCATACAAACACACATACAGAGCTCGAGAACAGAATATATGTACAGACAGAAGTTAACTACGAACAGGTTGTGCAGTTCATTGAGTCAAACGAAGTCAAGGATGAAATGATACAACGTGGCAGATCAGCAGCTGCCGGACTAATAACATGGGTTATACAAGCCTACTAACAATACGGTGACAAGCATAGGTCAAGTCAAACAACAGCGCCACATCTGTGTACCAGAGTGCTAACATCACACTTTCTTAGTGATTTTAAAAACCAAAATTGAAAAACTAGAGGTCTGTGTGAACGTGTACCTGGCGTATATTATCCGCCTCATTGGTGCGACCTTGCACGGCAGCTGCCTTGGAAGGTGAACGGGATGGCAGACCACGAAGACCGGGTAGAAACTCCGAACCCAGCGGTCCGGTCAAATTAGCACCCGCAGTTAAACCCATTCCAGCCAATTCTCCGGAAGGCCACCAATACTCGAGAGCTAAACGCGCGTGCAATCTTGACCCCGGTTGGTTGTACAGTTCAGCAATGAGGAGTAAGAAATTGGCGAAACCGGACCCCGTTGAGGAGGGATCGAAACCAGCTCGACGTAGCATATCTTCATCTCTGAGCCGAATTTCTTTCACGCGATTCGGCATATGCACGATCAGGTCTGTGACAAGAGAATGCACTCGACAAAACCATAGTACCTGAGAAGATAAGTGATAAGATATTCGGAACACAAGTTGTAGGCGAACATATGTTTCCGGCCACTACATTCTCAAGCCTTTAGCCACACTCAAATGAAAACAAAATGATAAGAAAAACAAAAAAGAAACGTCATATGGAATCAATTTGAAAGGAGAGAGCAAGGGAAGAAGAGGAGTGGGGAACGTAGATGAATCGATTTGAAACTGGGAACAACGGAGTGTTAATCTAAATTATTTTATGGTTATAACTAGATTTCGTCGCCGACAAGGCTGAGTAATACATTCGGCCATCGACTAGAGGAGCTGGTGCTTGAACTAACTTGCGCTGTGTATAGAGGTTAGCAATTGATATAATTTTTTTATGAACATTTTTCTACAAATGCAAAGTGAAACTCTTCACGTAAATTCAATAAGAACTACCGCTTGTTTGTATCTTGCTGTATTATTGTAATTGTAAATCCGAACTATTTTGAAAACGCACATCTGATTACGCCTTAACAGTGCAAGTATGCACTCCCTAAGTTACCTCACGATTCGAAGCTTGAACCAATATTATCCTGACCCAACATTGGTCATAATAGTACCGCATTTCAGGACAATCTGGTCTTATGTTGACTTCAGGATTTGAGCGTCACTCGATCGTTAAGACGTATTTCCTGTATGAAATTCATACTACAAGAACTTTTTGCAAAGATTCCACAACAAGAAATTTGAACAAACGTCAACAGCCAGCTCATCCGAATCCAAGCTACTAATACTGAAGTATATGAACCGTCCCCAAAACTCCTGGATGCACGGTCACCTGGTCGATCCGATGATAGGCTGTATCAGGTACCCAGAAATCGGAAGCTTGCCCTGAAAAGCGCATAATCTGACTGACGTTAGTCTCCGAATGGATTGCGGACTCAAAGCACCGTTTAACTGACTAGAAGTTTAGGTTATCCAAAGGAAGAAGCAGGGTGAGGTACCTCAAATAACCCTCCTACTTGGAGGACTACGTAGTGCAACAGTCCACAACACTGACATCAGGAAAAAATATATTCCGCCTGTTGTATTTATAACCCTTTTTCTATTTTTGCCGATGACTTAATTAAAAGAGGCGAGCGGTTTACGCCTATTATGTATTCTATCGCACACACGTGTCAAACGAATCACGGTCTAATATTCGGGTGGGTCACGCCTGGAAAGCGAGCTTGGTCAAAAGTCATCCTGACAAAGGTACCGGCATCCCCAATTGTCTTATCTGTAATACTTGGTTATGCAAGGGCTAAAGGAGCATCCTCGAAGATCAGGTGGTATAAGGATTTATAACTGGTATCATACTCCCAATTTTTCTTCATTCAAGAGACCGACCTGCCAAACCACGAGAACCACCAAAAGACAACAAACAATTCGCGGACGCCACCGTGTGGTGAAGCAAACTTTTAGATTCCACACAATGCTTGCCACCTAGCCACGGAAGCTATCAAAAATAGCATACCTGATTCATTTTATGACAACCGAAAAAACACCAATATTCTTCTCATTAATAAAAACCGTATGAAACCAATTTCAAAACCATCAGAACTTTTTTAAGTTTCTTAGTGAAGAACAATCTTGTATTGGTGACATCAAATGCTACCACCAACCGAATTTTGGGAATGGAACACTCGAATTTAGTTGCAACCAATGATAAACTGCATAAAACTGAGTGACGAAGAACGCTAGCGTCTGAGTTACTGAAACAAATGACAATGAGAAATCATAACGGATAATCTGTAGACAACTAAAACAATGCTGGGGTAACTCTAGGAACTGAAACACATGGAGTACAATTTCTCTCTTACCTCGCGATCGAAGCCATTTACTTGCATCAACCGCTTCCGCAGAAACTCAAGTCCTCCGGACTCAATGGCTATGGCTGCTTGTAGTTCTTCATCTTCATCAACCCCGTAACTGTTGTCGTCGACTGCGTTTCGATTGTCAGTTCCGCTGCCCCCCATCTGGCCGGGAATAGGACTGGTAGTGGGAGAACGGGTCAATTGATTTTGGTCGCGACGGGATAGTTCGTGTCTCAAATGTACAGTTCGCCGGAGACAAATGGCCCAAGCAAGTCGCAGTAGGGCAACAGTAGCTGCACGATCCGAATGATCCGTCTCGGTGAGCGTTTCCAGAGTGCTTTTCTCATCATCCAGCAACTGCCCAATTGTGCATGCGAACGAAGGATCCGAATACAATGGGTGCGAAATATCTGCGGGAGAAATGGGGAAACCGGCAGCCACAGACATTTAATACAAGCTGTTAACATTATGTAGAAACTTAATTCAGTATTATACAACTATGACCAAGTCTGAGAAAATTTGGGCGCATGAACGAACTTCGTGATGCAGTAAAACCAAATACACTGTGCCTCGGAGTATGATTTTTTTCCGAGGCGGGTTGTGAGTGGAAGGCGGCCAAACTAAGATCTGGCATGCGGGTATGAAATCCCTGACAAGAATGAGCCGCTACCTAAAGGACAGACAGTTTGTGAGTTTGTTATTCTTTGGCTCTCTGAATGATTGCTAAGTATTGGGTTCTCAAGTTGCACATAGCAACGGTGAGAAGACGGATTTGAGGGCAAAAGCTAATGCTGAAAGCTCTTTTCAGTACCGACTTCGCCGGGATAAGTATTCGTAAACAATTCAGGGGAGTAATGTTTCTCCAGTTTAGAAAAGCGGAAAAATAAACCTGTGCATGCCCTGGAGAATAGTTTCCACAACATTCACGGATGAAATGAACCGGTCAGGAGTGCAACCTAGGATGGTGATCAGAGTCTGATTACAAGACACCTGCAATATGTACCGAAAGGTCAAACAGAACAGTTGCAACGGGTTGTGAAACGACAAAAAATGCAAAAGCCGCGGGTTGAAGACGGAATTTGAAGTCCTAGTAAAAAAAGAAACAGAATTCGGCGACGGGAGACACAAAGACTGGGTCCAGGGATGACTAGCGATGAATGGTGAACAAAACCAAGCATATCCGCTTCAAATATACAAGAGGAATGAAGTTTATAAAGTGGAAAAATGGAAAATCTCTTGAATAAGGTAATGATGTCTCGGGTAGGAGAAAATACGGTGGAAGTAGATTCGAAATAGGGATACACATACTTCAAGTTGGGGTTCAGAAAGTAAATTTCGATGCAGGCAACCTGGGAGCGCGTGCGAGGGTGAACGAGTGAAACTGCGTAACGTGTAAATCGAGGATGACTTATTTTTGAGGTAAAAGATGGGAAGCGTTTTAAAATTTTAAAATGGGATCTTTGTACTCACCAGTCTGCCTACTGAAAGTAAGGCGAATTAATGCACAGCACAAATAAAATGGCCATTTTTTTTAATTAAAATTCCAGCTCAACGTACTGGGTGTTACAATTGAGCATATCACATGTAGAACTAGCATTTTCTACCACTGTCTATGCAAACGATCAATTCCTGATAAATGTATGCAAAAGCGGAAGCGGCGGGAAACGTGTTTCGCTAAGCCAATCATAAACTTGGTGTTCGCAGCACAAGTTGGTCACTCATGTTGCGTGTACCAGAAAAGAAGTAAGGGAATTGAGAATAACTCACATTTATATTATTCAACTTGAACCAAAACATGGTCATCAATGAAAATTACCTGCATCCGACAGCTCGCTCAACTGTTCCGGGGAGGTTGCAAACAATGGGAAAGGATCAAGAGAGTAAAGGAGAGACATGAGTAGGTGGGCCCTTGAATGACTGATCGGAGCAAGAGTTTCTGTTGAACTGTCGGACTGCGCTGGCTTTGTAGCACCTTCCTTTGGGTCCTCTGAGCGTAAGAAGCAATCCAGCACCAATCGGAACTCTGTGGCACTGAAGGCCGATTGGCATGACCACAGCAAGACACATTCTGCAAGTGTATTTTGTATGTTTCGCAGCAAGTTGTAAACATCGTAACGGTGTTTGGCCTCACCAAGAGCCTGTGCACGCTCCAAGCGTCCAAACTCCTTAGCAGTGTCGAAGGTTTTTAATGTGTCTATTGGAGTAAAAAGTTATTTTAAGTATGTTACAAAATTTTAAGGCTCCAGGCTAAAATCAAAACGGTTGTAATACATACATTGAAATAAAGCAGAATAAGAAGCACAGACAACAATACTGGCCAAGTGCAAGCTGACAACACGGAAGTTTACCTATTCGTGTACCAAAAGCGTAATAAGTTATTGTCAAAAAGCTCGAAAAAACATGGCAGTGATTTGGGTCACTCGTGTACATCTACCCTTAATGCCTCGGAATCAAATCTTGCGACCGTCGATCACAAAGCTTTCCTTGTTGTAATGTTGGGCGATCCCAAGGTTTGTGCTATCGAATTTCCTGTGACTGCGGAATTAACTTCCAGAGTACGCAGACGTAGGTATGGACATGCAAAAAACGAAAATTTCAAGGCTTCAGAATGGCGCGGTTACCACAAAGGAAAGGAGAAGATAAAACAGACCTCGCTGAATGTTTTATTTCACCATCGGTCTGCTGAATATCAAAAAGGCATTATGTGGCTCACTATTTCACTATCGCACGACTGAGGTCGCAAATCCCCATGGTGCAAAAGCCGATCATTTTTATCCGAGAGGAAAGAACGAAATTAATGGTCACAAGATTTCACCATATATATATAATCAACATTGGACTTGGTATTAGCAAGCGAGGAGCTTTTGATCGAGTCTGTCGAAACAACGACTCCA